TGCATCCTACTTTGGTGAGTGGCATCAATTGGTCCCAACCACTTGGAGTAAAGGAGAACGAAGAACACCTAAGACACAAGGAAAGTATTAGCCCGAGACAGAATGGGCCACATAAGCCAGAGACTTCATCAGCCTGAGATCAGAACTAGATGGTGCCTGGCTACCACCAATGAATGTCCTGACAGGGAACACAACAGAGGGTCGCTGATAGAGCAGTAGGAGGATGGGGTTTAGAACACAAATTCTAGTAAGAAGACCAGACTTAATGGTCTGAGACTGGAGGTGCCCCGGAAAACATGGCCCCTGGACTGTATCAGCCTAGAACTAAAACAGTTTCCGAGGCCAGCTCTTCAGCCAGGTATTGGACTGGACTGTGGGACATAAAGTGATACTTGTGAAGAATGTACCTCTTAGTCAAGTAGATACAAGAGTCCAAAGGGGCAGCATCTGTCCAGAGGTAAGATGAGAAGGCAGAGATAGGAGCTTGTTGAATGGTCATGGGGAATCCGGTGGAATGGAGGAGTGTGCTGTCACAGAATGGGGTTAGCAATTAGGGTCTCATAACAATGTATGTAAAAAAATTCTGTATGGGAGACTAACAATGTAAATTTCATTTAATTACAACAATTAAAAAAAAAAAACCATTGCTGTCAAGTCTGTTCCAACTCATAGCAACCCTATAGGACAGAGTAGAACTGCCTCATAGGGTTTCCACAGCTGTAATCTTTAAGGTAGCAGACTGCCTCATGTTTCTCCCACATAGCTGTTGGTGGGTTCAAGCTGCCTACCTTTCTGTTAGTGGCCAAGTGCTTAACTGCTGCATCAGCAGGGTTCTTGAGGTTTTGTGCATGTGCATGTATATATGTGTATATATATATGCTTGTATGCAATCTTGCAGGCATGTAGGTACGTATATGTACACACACACACTGCTCACTTTTTGACATGGTTAACTTCCAAAGACCAGATAGTTTTGCAAAAATCAGCATTATATGAAAAGGATTTTTTTTGTTTTTAGACCGTGTGTCCAATTTTTTTTTATTTAGAAAATATCATAGATATAACAGCTAAGATTTACTAATGTACTCTTTACTGTGACGAGTCCATTTATGAATTATTCCTCTGTGAGGAAGGAGGCTTAGAGAAGACAAAGCTGGTTAAACCGGGGCTGTGTGCCTGGAGGGCCCATGGCTTAACCACTTCACCTTCCTCCTGTGCTGGTCAGAGCTCCCTTCATGGAGCTGCCTCCAGGGCTGCAGTCCCACCCCTACAAGCTCTGCCTTCCAGATCCCAGAGCCTACAGTGCTCTTCAGGCCTGGTGAGCCACGAAGGCTTGAAACTTTCACGAGGGAGCCATGAGCCTAGCTACCTAACCAGCCTCACTGAGGTGGAGGCTTCAGTCCCTGTTTGTCTCAGTTTGCAGTGACATTAAACTTGCAAGCACCCTCTTCAAACACCCTCTCTTTTGCACTTTCTTTCCTACCTTTCCACCCCACAGCAATTTTGAGTTGCAGGGCCTCAGGTCGCATAGGAGATACGAACCCAGAAGCCTGCTGGATAAGCACTGCCTGTGCATCCATCTAGAGTCTGTGGCCACAGAGGCGCCTGGCCCTGCCCAGCAGCTGAATGTGGCAACCCTTCCAGCAGGATAGACTGGAGGGTGCAGGATAGTGCTGCCCAGGTTCTCTGAGGCCACTGTAAGACCCTCCTCATTAGTGTGCAAAGTAATCAGTAGATTTTTCTGTTGCAAATGTGAAATGTCAGATAAACAGATAGTTGATAAGTGACGAGTAGGGATGTCTGTGTGTATGTGCACGCATCTCAAACCTGTTGCTGTCTTGTCTATTCTGACTCTTGGCAGTGCCTCTGGGTGGATTTGAACCACCAGCCTTTTGGTCACGTGTCACTAAGCTGAAATTAACAGCACTTAACAAGAACAATTACATATATATACACACATATACACACACTCACACTTATATATGGCAGTACAAACTTTTGTGCCATCCAGGTATCTTATATGTGCATATAAAACCAGCTGTAATATTGTGTGTTCAAAGAATTTTCACAGGACAATATTTTCATAAATGTGAGTCAGATAATATTTGAAACATTTCACTTTAATACAATTGTTAGCACCATATTTTAGAAACATGGTGAAAATAATTGTAGCATGTCTGCTATATGATTTAATCTGTGAAACATGAAACAATTCAGGGCAGAAAAATACATGTTTAATGTGTATGGTAATGGTGAAATGGTAACAAATTTGTATCCAACAGCATGCTGTCTGTTTTTAACAAAAGGCATATGATAGAGAACCTCTGTGAAAGTAACAATCATTGTGGACAGACCGTCAGCCAGATTCCAAATCTTTCTGTGCTGAAAAGAACTATGGAAGCATATCCTTCTGAATGCCTTGAGTGTGGGAAATCCTTGATGAATCATTCATCACTTAAGCATCACATCAAGTCTCACTCGGGATGCAGCGCCTATCAGTGTAAGGAATGTGTAGAAGCCTGTAGTTCTCCCTCTTACCTCAGCACTGCTTTGAGAACTTTTACTGGAGAGAAATCCTATGAATGTAAGGAATGTGGCAAAGCCTTTCATTGTTCCTCAGAGCTCAATATACATATGAGAATTCACAGTGGAGAGAGGCCTTATGTATCTAAGGAATGTGGGAAAGCCTTTTGTCATTACTCAAACCTCATTGCATGTATAAGAACTGACAGTGGAGAGAGGCCTTATGTATGTAAGGAATGTAGGAAAGCCTTTAGTCAGTCCTCAGACTTCACTGCACATATGAGAATTCACAGTGAAGAAAGGCTTTATGAATGTAAGGAATATGGCAAAGCTTTTAGTCTTTCCTCAAATCTAACTAGACATGTAAGAATTCACAGTGGAGAGAGACTTTATGAATGTAAGGAATGTGGCAAAGCTTTTAGTCGGTCTTCATACCTCACTGCACATATGAGGACTCACAGTGGTGAGAGGCCTTACGAATGTAAGAAATGTGGCAAAGCCTTTAGTCACTCCTCAAACCTCACTAAACATTTAAGAACTCACAGTGGAGAGAGGCCTTATGAATGTAAGGAATGTGGCAAAGCCTTTAATCAGTCTTCACACCTCACTTCACATATAAGAACTCACAGTGGTGAGAGGCCTTATGAATGCAAGAAATGTAGTAAAGGCTTTAGCCACTCATCACACCTCACTGTACATATGAAAACTCACAGTGTAGAGAGGCCTTAGGAATGTAAGGAATGTGGCAAAATGTTTAGTTGGCCCTCAAACCTCACTGCACATGAGAAGTCATTGTGGAGAGAGACCTTAGGAATGTATGGAATGTGGCAAACCCTTTTGTACCTCTTCAGCCCTCAGTATACATACGAGAACTCACAGTGGTTAGAGGCCTTATGAATGTAAGAAATGCAGCAAAGCCTTTTGTCAGTCCTCACACCTCAGTACACATAAGAATTCACTGTGGAGAGAGGCTTTCAGTAAGGAATGTGGGAAAGCCTTTAGTCAGTCTTCAGTGCTTACTAATTTGAAGTTGGTAAGCAAAAATACAGCAGGAAGATGGGTTTTAAGTAAGAATTTTAATGGTTTTCAGAACTGCTCAAGGCTAATTAGGGTGAAGCAAGGAACAGTCATGGGATAAATGTAAATGGGCAAATCTTGTCACTTTGCTATTTTATATTTGTATCTCTTTTAATAAAAACCTTGGTTCCTAATAATATTGAAATAGTTTCAGTGTCATAATATTAATAGTACTACTGACTAAAAAACTTTTTTCGTAAAGTACCGAGTTTTTTCGCCTTTGTTTTTGTACTTATACCTATTATACATTCCCATTAAGGATATTAACACAAGATTACCATGTTTCAACAGTGGCTTGAGCACAAACTCTCTTGTGCATGGGTACGTGATCAGTTTGATATTGTTTGCTGCCATCGAGTTGGCTCCAGCTCATGGTGACCTTATTTATGTTGTGTGCTGTGGAATCGACTCTGATTCTTAGCGACTCCATGTGTCAGAGTAGAATTGCCCCATAGGGTTTTCTTGGGCTGTGATCTTTACAGAAGCAGATTGCCAGGTCTTTTTCCCATGGAGCTGCTGGGTAGGTTTAAACTGTCAACCATTTGCTTAGTAGCCAAGTAGTAAACTGTTGCGCCTCCAGGTCTCCATGATTTCCTGCATAACAGTAAAATGCCCAGTTCTGCACTACCTTCATTATCATTGTTGTGTTTGAGTAGTGCCTTCCAACCTAAGGGGTTTATCTTTCAGAACTATATCAGTGTTCTGTTATGGTTTTCATTGATTAATTTTCTAAAGTAGATTGCCAGGTCTTTCTTCCTAGGCTGTTGTAGTCTGTAGACTCCACTAATGTCTGTCCACTATGGGCGATCCTGCTGGTATTTGAAATACTAGTGATATAGCTTCCTGCATCAGCAACATGCCAGCCATCACACTATGTCAAACTCGCAGATGGGCAGTGGCAGTTTGGTGTCTAATTATGTTTACTTGTTTCTGTTTACATTTAATTTTAAGGTTTGCTTTCATTTTGAATTATTCCTTTAACATACAAAATTTTCACATGGTTCAAGACTGAAGACTATATGAAAAAATGTATTCAGAAGGCTGATTTCCTCCTATAGTACCAGTATTCTGTTACTATCACCACCAGTGGCTAACGATTTCCATTTTGTTTCTTGTGTAACCTTTCAGTATTTCTCAAAAATATGCCTCTCCAGAATGCATAAATACATACATGAATGTATGTTGGTTATTTACCATGTTTTCTTCGCATAAATGTAGTTTTTCCCACTTAACAGTATATACTGGACATTAATCTACTCACTTCATAGTATAGAGAAGACCAAGGCATAGGAGTTGGCAAAAGCTGTTCACATGTGCAATAGAGCTAAGGAGGGCTGGTGGTCTCTTCTGTCTCAGAATGTCCTTGATCACTGTTATGTGCTGTTGAGTCCATTCCAGCTAATTGTCCATATAGGACAGAATAGAAATGCACCATAGGGTTTCCTAGGCTGTAATTTTTATGGGAACAGATCTCTAAGTCTTCTCTTCTGTAGCGTTCGGTGGGTTCTAACCACTGACCTTTCAGTTAGCAGAGCTCTTAACCACTGTGCCACTGGGGCTCCTTCCTTGGACAATAACCATGTGTAAACATCCTGATAGTTTATCTAATAGTACCTTGTTAGGTTGTGCTCATCAAGTGGTGAAAACAAGAAACCCCTGAAAGTCTTTAGTTTTTCTTTTTCCATGTTCATGGAAAATATTGAGTTTTAAACATAGGGTTCAAATGTTTATTATCAGTGATAAAATTCCTAGCCCTTAAGGCACTTCTGTTTATGGACAAATATTTTATGGGGCCTAGTCTCTGAAGGAACCCTGGTGGTGCAGTAGTTAAAGCACTTAGCTGCTAACCGAAAGGTCGTCAGTTGGAACCCATCAGCTGTTGTGTGGGACAAAGATGTTACAGTCTGCTTCCGTAAGGATTTACAGCCTTGGAAATCCTATGGAGCAGTTCTTCTCTGCCCTTTAGTGTTGCTGGGAGTCAGAATCAAATCTGTGATAATCGGTTTGGCTTTTCTTTCGCTTTATCTTTTTGAGCCCCCACCCATCTGTCCCTTTGTACTGTGGTGGCTTCCATGTTGCTGTGATGGCTGGAAGCTATGCCACCAATATTTCAAATAGCAGCAGGGTCACCCAGTGAACAGGTTTCAGCAGGGGTTCCAGACTAAGACTAGCAAAAAGTGCCTGGCAATCTATTTCTGTAAATTAGCCGATGATACCCTTCTTGATCAGAAAATGGTATTGCCCAACAGGAATCAAACGTTCCAATGATCATGAAGATGACACAGGACTGAGCAAATGTTCAGTCTTTTGTACATAGGGTCTCCATGAGTTGGAGCCTGATGGGCAGCTAATACCAAAGTCTCTGTGAGAGGCACAGACAGAAGGGGTTGGGATTTCTCAGCCACAGATCTGCAGTTCTGAGTGGCTCCATTAAATGATGTTGATGATCCTTCTAACCTTTCTTAAATCTTTCTAGGTCTAAGCAGGTGTTTTTCTCATGGAGTGTCTGAAGAGGGCACAAAGAGGGAGACATTGAAATTTTTTACATCTTGGTTTTGTGATGCATAAATATAGCAATGGAGCCCTGGTGGCGCAGTGGTTAAGAGCTCAGCTGGTCACCAAAAAGCAGTTCGAATCCAGCTGGTCCTTGTAAACCCTGTGGGGCAGTTCTACTCTGTCCTGTAGGGTTGCTGTGAGTGGGAATTGGCAACGGGTTTTTGTTTTTTTAAATGTAGTGATAATAACAACACAAAAGTACAATAAGATTGGTCTTTTCTCTGCCAGTAGAGTTCAGGGTTTAGTTTTAAACCCAGCGTTCCGATTGTGCTGATGTAAGAGTCAAACCCCATCTGGCCCTGATAGATCCTGTTTCTCAGCAGGTGATTTAAAGCGTTGCAGAGACCCTCAGCTTTTTAAATAACCTGGATTTGATTGTTTACAATGGAGTCTGGACAGAAGGATCCCTGACCTCTGTGAGTCCTCAGGTCTTTGCCATGGAGAGAGCAGGGGAAAACGACCACACAGGAGGGTTCCTAGTGGGTGAGATGTGAGTCTTGGACCCTTTTTCCCTTGCAGCTGCTCAGTCCCCTTTTTACCTGGGGACCCCTGCATTTCCCCTGGCAGAGATCTTATGGGTACAAGTTCCTGCCGACCCCTTTACTTAGCTATGTGATAATGAGCAAGTTACTGGACTTGTTCTGCCTCTATTTCCTCATTCAAAATGAATAAATAATGTCTTTCACTTGGCACATGGATTGCCCCAACTCTAAGACACTGCTGCCTAGTGCCACCTCTCAGCCCTGTCCCCAGGCCGACCCCACATATGCCCCTCCCCAATCTCACTACATCTCTGCTCTCAGCCTGTAGGGCCAAATGTTGGGATACTCAGGCCACTAGATGTTCACTTGCACTGGGTCCAGTGGAGCAGCCTGAGGGGGGAAGTTATTGCCCGTGGAAGATGTGGGCTCACACTGCTGTAATGTTAGAGGGCCCTCTCCTCAGGCTGAGTGACCCTTCTGAAAACATCATCCTACAACCACTGCTTACCTAGGAGTGTAGTTTCTCCTGAAAGTAAGACTAGTTTTATATTGATGCCATTTTTGTGAGGACTGTCTGGAATCCCACCTCTGCCTCACATCAGGTCCGCATGGAAGTTCCAGTGTTCCAACATCTGAGCCACACTGGCCTCACTCGCACACGGTGCACAAGCCTCCACCTTCCCCCATCTCCCAGCCTTCATGCTGGCAAAGCTCTCTCCCTGACATCTGATGCGCTCGCCTTTGTAAACACCATGGCCTCTCTGTGTCCAGAAGATGGAGGAGTTACCTCTTAGTCCCTTAAGCCTTACCCAGGAGGGTCGAGGTTTTTGTCTTTTTCCTAAACCTCCCTGGCATTTAATTTTGTCTTTCTTTCGGTTTTCAAATTTAGAATGTATTAAGTTGTAGAAATCATTTATGGTCTCTGGCATTCCTTTCTAGTTCTTCATTGGATTAAGCACCTGACAGGAAACGACTTATAACCCACTCCCACCCTGGTGTGCGGTATCTCTGATGGTTTTTTTTTCTGATTACCCAGGTCACGGAGTAATGAGCCCACCACACAGCTCTTCCTTCAGTGTCAGTGTTGCATATGGACTGACTTCCTATTAGGCAGACTGATAAGAATCTAACACCCAGAAGCCACTCCCATCTCCCCAATTCATTAATAGTTACATCACAAGTCTAGTGGTTCCGCCTCTGCACTTGAGGTAACACCCCTGAGCCCCCACTCCGGCCCCTTCCTGCCCCCAGCCTTTGAAAAATGAGTGTCCACGTTTGCATTGTCCACTCCAGTGACGAGGAGGTGGAGTGAGCAAGATGCTCACCTAAAGCACAATATCTAAAAGGGCTGAAAAACCTCAGTCATCAAGATAAATCGTATTCAGCATTTAGTATTTCCCTCCTTTTTGCCTCCTTCTCCAATTGGCAGGGTCATTCGCTCTGATATGGTACAGCAGGGCAGGTCTAGCTGAAGAGGAGTTGCTTGGATGGGTTGTTTGTGGCACTTAGTACAGCCACCAGGGCAGGACAGTAATCAGTGCACGGCAGGTTCTGGTAGGCCTTGCCTGTACTGTTTGGTGGTGCGATGTTAAGCGCATGGTGCAGGTAGGCAGG